TTTTGGGGATTTTAAGGTGGAATCAGTTTAGAAATACAGCAGAACCTCTGAATGCGAGGCTTAAAAATAACAATTTTCCAAAATATGAAGTGAAATTTGATTAAATATTCAACTCGGCACCCAAAGTATGATGTCAGTCATTGAAAGAATATCTAAAAATGAAATAAATTACATCTTTAAGTCATACAAAAAAATTGAAATATTAAATGAAATAAATGATGTCAAAGTCATAGAAAAATATGTAAAAAATATAAAAATGGAGTAAAGATAAATAATCTAAGTTGGTGTAGAGTTCCTGTATAATGGGGGAGGGAGGCGTTCAGGGGCGCCTGGGGAATCCCAGCTGCCACACCGGGGCTTCAGACAGGGGTTTATGAGCCTGAATGTGGTCGTTTTGGATGGATTTGGGGGATTTTAAGGTGGAATGAGTTTAGAAATACAGCAAAACTTCTGATTACGAGAATTTTCTCGTAATCAGAGAAAGAAGAATTTTCCAATATACGAAGTGAAATTTGATAAAATATTCAACTCGACACCCGAAGTATGACGTCAAAATCATAGAAAGAATATATAAAAATCAAATAGATGACATCTAAGTCGTAGAAGAAATATCTTAAAATTAGATAAATTACATCTTTAAGTCAGAAAAAAATAGAGAATATAAAAATTAAATAAATGATGTCAAAGTCATAGAAAAATATGTATGAAATATAAAAATGGAGTAAAAATGAATAATCTAAGTTGGTGTAAAGTTCCTGTCTAAAGTCAGAGTGAGTTAGGGCTGGTCCTGTATCTCAGTCTCCACCTCTACCTCCGTTCTTCAGTCTCTGAGCTAAAGGGCCAATAAAAACCCTTTTTATTGATTATTTCTTTATCATTTATTTCTTTTTCCATCTCTCTTCTAGAAGTCATTTGTTTTCTTGCTATGTGTAATTATCTGCAGTATTTATTAAGGAGATATCGTAGGTTTTTGGAACCAATTCTAGGAATTACAGAGTATTCTGATGGAAGATTTGAACCAACACACCAATATTTAACACAGAAGTCGATCCTGGACCCAGTTAGACTGTTATAGAGGTTCTGCTGTATTTTACTACACGAAACACATTTTCCAAAGATGAAGCCTGAAGATATCCAGACATCTAAAATATCCTCAGTAAATGTTCCTAGAATGTGACTGAAATGTAAGAAATTAAATAAATAAACAGACGCCCATAAGAAGCTGCCATAAAATAGATTCCATCTCTCTGTTCAGGTCAGAATTGCCTCCATCTGGCGTCGGTCTGCGGATTCCTCTCTCTGGTGGAGAAGATGGTGGACCTGGGCGCGGACATAAACGCTAAGGTGAGCCCCCCCCCCTCCCAGAATGCAACGCTGCGTACAGCAGGAAGGGGTCGTCCTCAGAACTAAAGAAAAAACACAGAGACACACACACAGATAAACACACACAGACAGACACACACACACAGACACACACAGACATACACACACAGACACACAAAGGGACAGTTAAAAATATAAATATATATATATTATAATAATAAAATTATTAATATATATGATAATTTATTTACAATAATATATTTAAGATAATAATTAGCAGATATAGTAATATTTATAATAATACATACAGTATTTTCCGCACTATAAGGCGCACCTTCAATGAACGACCTGTTTTAAAACTGTATCCATAAATAAATAAGGCGCACCGCATTATAAGGCGCATACAATAGACGCTACGGTAGAGGCGCACTGGAATATAAGGCGCACTGTCGGCTTTTGAGATAATTTGAGTTTTTTGGGTGCGCCTTATAGTGCGGAAAATACTGTAAATATGTTAAATTATCAAGGTGATCCCCCCCCCCCCCGCTGACGTGACCTTTGACCCCTCCAGGAGCAGCGTAACGGGCGTGGCTCGCTGCATTTGGCCGTGGACCAGCAGAACCTGTCCCTGGTGCGGCTCCTCCTGGGGAAAGGGGCCGACCCCAACCTGCTGACCTCGGGGGGGCACAGCCCCTTCCACCTGACCCACGGCCTGGACGGCGGCGCCATCCGCTCAGAGCTGCTGCCGCTCACCCGGCCAGAGCTGCGCGAGCTGCCCGACAGCGAGGAGGAGGACAGCGACGAGGAGGAGGAGGAGGAGGGGGACGAGTCCGAGGAGGAAGAGGTGAGTCCACCAGGCCCCGATACGAAATCTGGATCCGATCGGCCAGCAGGAGAAAAAGCAGATCCAGACTACTGCTTTAAAGCCCCCAAAACAGCTTTAAAATCCCCAAAAATAGTTTTAAATCCCCCAAAACGTCTTTAAAATCCCCCAAAATAGTTTTAAATCCCCCAAAACAGCTTTAAAATCTCAAAAAACATTTTTAAAAGCCCTCCAAACAGCTTTAAAATACAAAAAACTGCTGTGAAGTCCCCCCAAAAAACTGCTGTAAAATCCCCCCAAAAAACTGCTTTAAAAGCCCCGCAAAAGAGTTTTAAACCCCCAAAACGGCTTTAAAAGCCTTCAAAACAGCTTTAAAATCCCCAAAACAGCTTTAAAATCCCCCAAAATAGTTTTAAAGCCCCCAAAACAGCTTTAAAAGCCTTCAAAACAGCTTTAAAATCCTACCAAAAACAGCTTTAAAAGCTTCTGGTCTAGGCTGGTTCCGATCCGATATCTGGATCTGATAGGACGCCGATATTCCCAAAAAAGATGATTATCGGCCAGCAGGAGAAAACACAGATCCAGATCCAGTTTTTTATTTTAAGTCCGATCCCATATTAGCGTTAGCATTAGCATTAGCAGATCTGTGTCCTAACCATAAGTTGTTATCAGAGTAAATCCCTGTTCAACATGAGTCTGACAACTAAGTAAGTAGATAAATAACTTTAAACTTTAACACATGCTCTGATAGGCCGGGATCAGATCGGATCAGAAGGGAAAACATCCCTAACGCAGAGCATTAGCTAACTAACCTAACCCTAACCCTAAAATGCTGGTCTGTGTGTCCTCAGGCTCCGTACGACGACATCCAGTGGAACGGCCACTAGCAGGAGGCCCCGGAGGCTCGTCCCGGCGCGTCCCAGCCGGGTGGAGCTAGCGAAAAGGAGCCGGGCTCCTCCTCCCAGGCTCCGTTGTAACATACTGTAAATGCTGTGTATACAAAGATGTATTTTTTATGGAAGCTGTGAACGTGTACAGATGAGCAGGTTGTAAATGTCTAGCCGGCTAACAGCTCCAGAGCACTCCAGTTAAATTAAAACACTCGTATTTATCGGATCAGACCTTTTGTGTGCATGTTTTTGGGAGGAAACGGTTCAGAACCGGAACCAACAGGAAAAGCTGTGAAAGAGGAAAAAGGCTTCCAGGGAACGTCTATTTATATCCGTGTGTGGAGCCCAGATAAGAGGCTCTGGGAATTTTTCTGAGTGAGGACAACTGCTCAGTCATCTCAATCAGGAATTTTTTTTTTTTTTGCTTGTTTGCTTTCGGAGGGTGTGGCTAAGTGAGAGGGAACAGGAAATTCCCGGAAATTTTCAGCTGTTGGC